TTTGTAACACACGTTGTCATTGTTCTTTGTACAGGGTGGGCGCAAAGAAAGGTAACGAGGCACTAGCAACTTTTAATTCAAGCGCCGGGAGTTCTTGGAGTGGGTTTCATAGGTATTTGTTACAGAGATCAACCTTCAAATTATCATATGAAAAGTATCAATTTTAGGATGACCAAATTTTTATCCACTCGTGAACCAATCGTGCGTCTGTATCGTCGAGGTGTTTGTTTGAGAGTTGTAGTGACTTCATGAGCAATCTCCTGAATATACAGTAGCGGTCAAAAGTGTTCGCCGAAACGATTTTTAGTGCATTATTTTTCTCGCTTGAGCAACGCCCTCCAAAGATTGATATACTATGTTTTCTAGTGTTTTTATATCCTCAAGTCTTAAAGAATCAGGATATTCAAAAGAAAAATTTTTCGAGGCCACCATTGATTTTTTGGCAAAAAAAGAGAAGCACGGAAAATCCGTTTCGGCGAACACTTTTGACCGCTACTGTACGTGCGAAGCGCCGTTGGAATCCTGCTTGTTCATTTTGCTGTTCTGCCTCTGAAATGGAGATTGGCTTCAACTCTTTGCGAGATACTGTTAGCTAGCATCTGTGAATGCTCTTAAGCTTGAAGCTCTCCAACTTTTGTCTGGGACGTGCAAACAGAAAAGAAAGCCGAGTGAACACTTTGGAGCCCATGCAGTCCATATGTGGACTGCAGTCCGTCGACCGCGTAGGACCTTTCAGCCCATATTTCGGAAACAAATATTAGTTTTCTTTATTTTCTTTTCCATTTCATTCGATAAGGTTTCTTCTGCATCATACATAGGTTTTTCTTTCAAATTTTACTTGATAAGATTCCTTTCACTGAAGTCCCACGCAACCGCAAAACGTACCCATGCGCGGTCACAAATGTGTTAAACAGCATTCCGCTAACGTAAGAGACTTCTTTTGTAGATTTTCTTCACTTATGAAAAAATATTCTAATAGTTGGGTCAATCGCGAATAGGTAAAGCCATCGGCGGTATGTCGTCGACAAAACCACTTTAGTCATTCAGTAATGGTAACCGCAGGTTGTACATACTCGTGTTTTTACTCCTGCCTCGAAGGCTTTTAGGTGGTAAATCTTTATTCTGGCCAGAGGCAGGAGTAAGAACACAAGTACAACATCAACGAAAATGCCGAAGTTTCAAGATGAGAAGACTTGGAATTTGGTGTCCGCAGGATTCTCAAGATTCAATAACACGGCTACTCGGCACATAAGACTGAATTGCAGGAGTTGCGAGGGATTATCGTTTAAAGTCGCCTCAACGCTCAAGTTCACATGCCTCGGCCAACAGCAGACTCCGTATTGAACACTAGACATTTATCAGTTAGCGCGACACCACAGAAAAAGAAGCTGCAGATGCGGTGGCAGTAAATTTATGAAATTCATCGCATAAAGACGGTGACAATTTGCAATAGATTTGGCGCCGTAATTCATGGAGGCTCTTTAATGAGTACAACGACGACAGGCCTGCAGGCACTAATAAAATCAATCGGCAATAGATTGACCGCACTTATTCACATGCGCGTTTCCCGACAAAGTTTCGTCTTTGCTATTAAGGAGAATTCCACGAGAAGACGAAGGCTGAAGAAAGGGAAAATTGCCCAGTGGGGAGAGAGGCGGACTCTTGAAGGTGCGGACTGACATGCGATCGGCAGCGAACGATTTGGCGTCGGCGATCTAACATGGCTCACTCTTGGCGCACTTGGCGCGGTACGCCCACCGGATCATCTAACACTCGATGCAGTCTAACACAGCGAGTGTTAAGGTGAGGACGCGCAAAGATCGAGTAATCACATCAACGGAGGAATCAAACGCGCAGAGAAGGTCCTTCCCGCTTTTCATGGTTTTCTCCTTGTCTTGGTTTCACTCAACATCCTTGACTATAATTTGAAGTGGTTGCTCCTTTCATCGCGTTTTGGGCCTCTAAGGCAAAAGCGGGGACTCCAAAGGAGCAATGTATCTTGTTTGTACTGATTGCCGTTCTTAGGATACTCGCAGGAGGCCCGTTTCGGCGAAGGAGAGTGCAGACGGGGTCCCGACAGTCGTAGCGCTTACATGCGGATATGCGGGCGTCTGCCGCAGTATGTTGAATTAATAGGGAATTCGCACAGTAAGCGCTGCCACTCGTTCCATTAGACCCTGCGTCTTGTCTTTTCGCGCGGACGGTCTCTGTCGAGACGCCATTTTCTTAATCAGTTTTAGCCCAGCTTCAACATGGACCTCTTCAGGTTCAAATGATCCACTAGTGATCAATACCGATTAACAATGGAAAACTACGAGCGGATACGAGTGGTTGGTCGTGGAGCGTACGGTGTTTGCTGGCTTTGTCGGCGAAGGGAGGATCCTCTTGCTCAAAAGGTTCGGCCTTAGTTCATAACTTGAATAATTGGAACAAACAGTAGCTTTACTCTCCAGAAACTCCCGAATGGTGAATCTGGTCTTTTTTTTGCTTCCAGAATTTTCAGCTGCTCTCAGCTGATTCCTCCCCCTCTATTACTCAAATTGATTCGAATTGTTACTAAGATGTGAGTAGAAGTTCATCTTTTAAGGTCATCGTGAAGACAATATTTATTCATGGAATGAGTCCAGACGAAGAAAAATCGATGATGGGTGAGATTCTTTTAGCAACTGTGATCCTATCACATCATCTAAATATTGTGTGAACCTGTTGATAGTTCAGAAGTCTTTCTTATTGAACAAATCAATCAGCTGTCAAAATACGAGCTTGTAATTATACCTGTTCCAGTGTGATCGTTACCTTTAGGTCGATGTCAGACCTTTGCAAATCCAGCGGATTGCTCTCGAACCGCGGGATAGGAACGATGTGCCAGCGGTTCGAATGTATGTACTAGCGACTCGACAGTGTGGAAGTGGCGAGAGTCCCTCTCATGCGCACGTTGAGTTTCGTCATTTTCCATGCCCTTCATGTCCTCGCTAACCCAGGAAGGTAGCGCTGGTCAACGTGCGCATGAGAGGATCTCTCGCCACTTTCCCACGCTAGCTGTCACTGGTACAACGTTCAAATCGCTTGTGCATCTTCTGAGCCGCTGATGCAATTTTCGATTGGCTGACCAATCGCTCGTACCCAGAGATTAGCTAGCGATTCGCTGGATTTGCAAAGACTAGCACCATCCACATAACCTGGGGTCAAGTTGCTCGGGGAATCGTGACAATCAACTGCAGCGCAATTCAGTCCTCTCTTCGAGCAGCAGATCTGTGCGCGGCGCTGTGACCCCAAGAAGACACAATAACGATTCGTCACTACGTTTGCCCAGGTTCCACCGTAACCACGTTGCACTGGGGCGCGCTGTCGAGTATTGGAGCGCGCAATCCAACCTCGAGCACGCATCAAATGTCCTTTATCTGTCCTTTATCCACTGATCGGATCCAGTGTCAACGTGACCCTCGTTAGCATACGTGCGCGCA